TGCTCTCCCTCATTTTCTGTTAAATATATTATAAGTACACTCACATTATTTTAGTTAAACTTGTAGACACAGGAGAAGCAGTAACCCTACCCAATCTCACTAGTTCATCCAGATAGGAGTAATGAGTAATGAGTGATGATCTTCAGTTTATTGCCATTCATCAAGATGTGATTATATGCATTTGTTTGCTTACTTATTTAGTCATTGACTTTTAATATTGGAGAATATGTCTATGTCTATATAACAAAGGGAGACTCAATGGCATCTCCTGACATTGTATGACATACAGGACAACTGTTATTACTATAGTGCTTTACTTTAAAAGAACACTCCAAACACCATATTTACCACAATACATTGTAGTGGTAATGATGATTGGAGTGCCCTTGTTTTTTGGCGTTTTTTTTTAACTAAGGGACCTCCACTACCTCTAATGTAAAGTTGAAACTCTTTTATGAATTCAAGATATGGAGAAGGCTTGAATATTTTAGCATTAGGGACAATGAGACTGATTTATTTTTATTTATTTTTTGGCCCCAAAACAGCCTGTGTCCTGCCCAGTAGAGCAGGGGATAAAGGGATCACTTTACATAGTTTGTACACAGCCACAACTTTAAAACCACTGACAGGTGAAGTGAATAACATTGATTATATCGCTACAATGGCACCTGTCAATGGGTTGGATATATTGGGCAGCGAGTGAACAGGAAAAATGGACAAGTGAAAAGATGAGTGGCTTTGACAAGGGCCAAATAATGATGGGTAAACCACCGGGAGGAGCATCTCAAAAACAGCAAGTCTTGTGGGGTGTTCCTGGGATGAAGTACCTACCAAAAATAGTGCAAGAAAAGACAACCAGTGGGCTGGCATCAGGGTCATGAGCGTCAAAAGCTCATTAATGCAGTGGGGAGCAAAGGCTAGCCCATCTGGTACAATCACATACATTAGATCAGGTAGCTACCATAACTCAAATTCTGAAAAATGTGAACCTGTACTCCTGTCAGAAAAAGTCTCTAAATAAAAATAAATAATTGCTTGAAATTTTTTTGTTTATTTCATCGGTTCTAATGGAGCTTCATACATTTTTAAAACATACTCTCCTCCTCTTGCACCATTTCAGCACTACCATAACCCCAACTTCATTGGTATGGAGATGTCTCTCAGCAGCTCCTCTGCTTGGAAAGCCTCAGCCACAGACTTCAGGTGGAAGAGGTTTTTTATCACACTTGTTTCCCGACCACAACCTTTTTGGTTTTTGCTTCCCAAGTACTACCAAGCCTCAATAAGGAAACCAGTAACCAACCTTATGCTGATCATTTGCATTAACAATGAAACAGCTGTCCATGAGTGGTTCACTGGCTTTGCATATTTTCCTAAGTTGTGTTTCAAAGCTATTTTATACAGCAAACACAGAATCAAAGGGATCCATGTTTAAAATGGAATGAGGTGGGACGGAGCCTGCGCACGAACTGAATGGCCGCTAGAGGAAGGAGCTCCTGAGCCAGCGGCTAAAAAATTCCTACAAAGCAGCTAAACAGCACAAAATCACCCTAAATAGAAGGACTTACGCAATGTCCCAACGGGGGGCCAGGAAAATGGCAGACAACAAAGAAAAACACTCCTTCTTTGCGGCAAAACCGGCAAGCCAAAAATCATCAGTGCGATCAACACAAGATGGCGATGGCAGTGGAGATGACAGGGAGATATCCCAGCCACAATCCCCACAACACACCATGCAAATACAAGGGGAACTATTTCAGAAAATGCTAGGTGACATGGCGACCAAAATTCAAACAACAGTCCAGTCAGCAATAGCAGATCTCAAAAGAGACATCATAGAAATCAGAAACCGCACTGCACACATGGAAGGCAAGATGGCGGAGTACGCCAAAGCACACAATAGCATTGCAGAAAAACTAGAAGAAATAGAAGCAAAATTGGAAAAACAAGAATTAAAAAACATGGACCTGGAGGATAGGTCCCGACATCAAAACCTACTGGTGAGAGGGATTCCTGAAGAGGTGCAAGCAGCAGACCTCATGGCGTACCTCACGGGCCTGTTTCAAGCCATAGCCCCTGATATACCAACCAACATGTTGCTCATGGACAGAGCACACCGCGTAGCGAAACCTCAACCCGACTCCACACCGCGAGATGTGCTAACTAAAATGCACTATTTCCATGTCAAAGAAACCCTCCTGCGATCCAAAAGACCACAACATGAACTACCAGAACAATTCAGGTCTATTCAAATCTTCACAGATCTCTCTGCTGAAATACTGCGACGCAGAAGAACCTTCAAAGAAATCGCATCTGAACTCCAAAATAGAAAGATCCCTTACCGTTGGGGATTCCCAATCAAACTATTGATCCTTAAGGAAGGCAAAACACATGTGGCCTCAGAAGCAGAAGCCACCACCCGCTTGCTACACGCCAGGGGCATTGACATAGCCACAAAAAAAGAGACAAACTAGGCAAGCGTACAACACTCCACCCGGAATGGCAGACGGTGAGACACTCCAAATCATCCAAGACTTCAACCGATAAATGAAAGTGACAAAGAGTTGACGGTCATCACCCATCCAACGACGCACAGGACTGCCCCAATATCAAAACACCATGGACAAAGCTAATTTACCACATTTATTGGACTGAGATCACATACACTCTATGGAAGATGATCGGGTGTGGGTAATATGCCTTTTGTTAATGTTTTCTGTCACTAATTCTATAGCTCCTCAGATATCCTTAGGGGATCGACCTTAGAAGAGGGGGAATAAATGAGGGCACACCGCTATAAAAGATCCCTTAACAACTCTGAGAGTCGGGCACACTCCAACAACCAAAAAGGACCTAGGCCCTCATTATACCGGGACACAGTGGCCTCACCACTATAGGCACAACCCCACTCCCCCCGTTCTATCCCTCAATATTATATCTAACAAGTGCATGCTTGAATCAAACAATCCACCCAGAGACATAGGCAGGCCCAGATGATCACATAATTTACACCACATAAAAGGTACAAGGATAGCATTGCACCCCTCTCCACACTAATCCAAAGGTATAAAATATTAGAGCCGTGGGCGCGGGGCTTCGGCCATCTGGGCGGTCAAGAGGCTTGACCTGGAATCCTGAGCCCCCCAGATAAGACGTGCTAGTGGGAGAAACTAGCGGGTTAAACTGCGTCCTTACGGAAGACTGGGGCACAATGCTCAGGTTACCATTAATGTAATGTTTATGCTTTTGTATATATGTTGAATGTTTCTTTTATTCCTATGGTCAACATCACCGCCTCTCATACACCATTGATCACACATACCTGAAGGGCTGGGTAAAAATTCCACACATTAAATGCAGTTGCCTCAAAGAGAAAAATAGTGATAACCACTCAAAACTCCGCCAAGGGACTACCCCTATAAAAACAAACCCCCCCGAATGGGCGTGGACACCCACCAACAAGACACTACCCAAGATAATAAGGGACAACACAGCACTCCATCCAATCATTCATATTTAGTCTAAAATCACACTCATGTGCAGGGCTTGAACATCGCATATAAATGACATATACTTGAAAGGGAACTTAAAAAGGCACAGGCAGACATTGTATATCTTCAAGAAACACATTTTGCATATTTCCCACAACTCAACTCAAGCTAATACCCCCACCAACTGCAAGCCACCACTCCAAGAAAATCTAGATGGGTTTCTATACTCCTTAGCAAAGATCTGACAGTGATCTCACACGACCAAATAATAGATCCAGGGGGAAGGTACATCATATGGCAATGCACAATCAATAACCTAGACTACACACTAGTGACTATATATTTCCCGAATACCAACCAGAGGAACTTCCTACACGGGGTCCTCACCAAAACTAAAAAAGTGAGGAAAGGCACTCTTGTGATGAGTGGAGACATCAACCATGTATTAGATCCAGAAATAGGCTCAACCAGGCCCACTTCGTCACCACAGTACAAAACCCTTAAAAAACACAGCAAAAGCCTCAGGACTCTGGCAGCCTCGTTGGACTACGAGATGTATGGAGAGCCCTCCATCCATCAGAAAGAGCATACACACACCACTCCAAAGTACATAACACATACTCCAGAACTGACGGCTGCTTCATGCATGAATCCACTATGGCCGGAATTTCTAGACTGTGACATCATGAGTGTTGACTGGTCAGACCACGCACCAATGACACTAACATTAGCGAACTCATACGAATGCAAACACAGAAGCCCATGGAGTCTTAATGAGAACCTACTCAAAGACAAACAATACTGCGCATCTCTGGAAAAAGAACTACAACACTACTTCACCACCAACACTACAACCGACCAAAACCCACACGTGCTATGGCTCGCACACAAAGAAGTAATAAGAGGCACACTCATAAGCAGGGCCTCATACCTAAAGAAACAAACTGAAAAAGAAACAAAAATGATTAGTTCGGGTATACCTAATGTATTACAAAGGAGTGTGGGAGTAGGACTGGCACTAGGCTGCTCAAAACTGGAAATAAATAGGGATTCACTAAAACCTATAAAAGAGATAGTTTGGGAGGACACTAATCACGTGTACAAATACCAGGAGCTGGCCTAAGATATGGCAAGAATGTGTGGAGATATAAATGGAATGGCAATATCTGCGTGAGAGAATATGTAAATATTGGTACTGTACCTTTAAGGAAAAAACTAAAATTCTAATAAAAGTGTAAAAACAAGATAAATGTATAAAGGAAGAAAATAGAACCAGATAAAGTGAATTGGAGATCGGCAAACAGCATATAAATAGCGAATAAATAAATAAATAAATAAATATATGTCATATGCAATATGTGTAAGTAGTGTAAAGGTAACACTTTTACCTTTACACTTTTACCTTTACACTACTTACACTTATAAAGATTTCTGAACACTTAGTTTACACATAATTACTTTTAATAATTCTTCTTCTTTCCTTAAAGGACCACTATAGTGCCAGGAAAACAAACATACTCGTTTTCCTGGCACTATAGTGCCCTGAGGGTGCCCCCACCCTGAGGGTGGGGGCACCCTCAGAGCACTATAGTGCCAGGAAAACGAGTATGTTTGGAAAACGTAACCTTTATTCCAGCGCCAGGCGGGGAGCTCTCCTCCTCCTCTCCGCCTCCGATCCTCCTCTTCGGCTGAATGCGCATGCGCGGCAGGAGCTGCGCGCGCATTCAGCCAGTCTCATAGGAAAGCATTTACAATGCTTTCCTATGGACGCTTGCGTGTTCTCACTGTGATTTTCACAGTGAGAAGCACGCAAGCGCCTCTAGCAGATGTCAATGAGACAGCCACTAGAGGATTTGGAGGCTGTATAAACACATTTATAAACATAGCAGTTTCTCTGAAACTGCTATGTTTATAAAAAAAAGGGGTTAATCCTAGTGGCACCTGGCACCCAGACCACTTCATTAAGCTGAAGTGGTCTGGAAGCCTAGAGTGGTCCTTTAATTACAAATTTATTAAGATACATTTTATTATAAATTGTATTATACATCATTTCAATTAATTTTATAGTTTTTATTTTATTTTTACTAAATGTCGTTATATGAACTGATAAACATGGATTGTTGGTTGTGGCTATTAACTCTGTACATATAGTTTCCCTTTATGTATCTTTCATAATTAATTTTTGTAATTATTTTTTGTATTCATCTATTTTTTATTTTTTACATATGCTATCTATATATAACATTATTGTACTACTTGTATATGTTTATAAGACTTTATATCATACAACTTGGTTTATTGTATGCAAAGACAGTTTTTTAAACCAATTAGTTGAATGTGTATATAAAGAAATATTGAAGCAATGGTTCTCCATCCGTCTCTGAAGAAGATTGGACATATCCATCAGGACACAGATCCAGCATACACCCATCAATAGAAGGCAGTATTCTTCCAGGACCTGTTGGTGTGCTCACTTATCGGAGCCATCTACAATGCACGTCCCTCCCGAGTGAGGCTTCTGTTAGGACGCACGCTGAAAAACACGCTGTCCTCACCGGCGGTTACAACACAAGCGGCAACTTAGGAACACAATCCATATCCATCCGAGCATAATCCGAAGGTCTCTGCATACTTCTGACTTCTATAAGACTGGTAACAACTGTAGAAACATAGAAACATAGAATGTGACGGCAGATAAGAACCATTCGGCCCATCTAGTCTGCCCAATTTTCTAAATACTTTCATTAGTCCCTAGCCTTATCTTATAGTTAGGATAGCCTTATGCCTATCCCACGCATGCTTAAACTCCTTTACTGTGTTAACCTCTACCACTTGAGCTGGAAGGCTATTCCGTGCATCCACTACCCTCTCAGTAAAGTAATACTTCCTGATATTTTTTTTAAACCTTTGTCCCTCTAATTTAAGACTATGTCCTCTTGTTGTGGTAGTTTTTCTTCTTTTAAATATAGTCTCCTCCTTAACTGTGTTGATTCCCTTTATATATTTAAATGTTTCTATCATATCCCCCCTGTCTCGTCTTTCCTCCAAGCTATACATGTTAAGATCCTTTAACCTTTCCTGGTAAGTTTTATCCCGCAATCCATGAACCAGTTTACTAGCCCTTCTCTGAACCCTCTCTAAGGTATCAATATCCTTCTGAAGATACGGTCTCCAGTACTGTGTACAATACTCCAAGTGAGGTCTCACCGGTGTTCTGTACAATGGCATGAGCACTTCCCTCTTTCTACTGCTAATACCTCTCCCTATACAACCAAGCATTCTGCTAGCATTTCCTGCTGCTCTATTACATTGTCTGCCTACCTTTAAGTCATCAGAAATAATCACCCCTAAATCCTTTCCTCATATGTTGAGGTTAGGACTCTATCAAATATTCTGTACTCTGCCCTTGGGTTTTTACGTCCAAGATGCATTATCTTGCACTTATCCACATTAAATGTCAGTTGCCACAATTCTGACCATTTTTCTAGTTTACCTAAATCATTTGTCATTTGGCTCATCCCTCCTGGAACATCAACCCTGTTACATATCGTAGTATCATCAGCAAAAAGACATACCTTACCATCAAGACCTTCTGCAATATCACTAATAAAAATATTAAAGAGAATGGGTCCAAGTACAGATCCCTGAGGTACCCCACTGGTGACAAGTCCAAGCTTCGAATATATTCCATTAACTACAACCCTCTGTTGCCTGTCACTCAGCCACTGCCTTACCCATTCAACAATATTGGAATCCAAACTTAAAGATTGCAGTTTATTGATAAGCCTTCTATGTGCAACAGTGTCAAAAGCCTTACTGAAATCTAGGTAAGCAATGTCTACTGCACCACCCTGATCTATAATTTTAGTTACCCAATCAAAAGAATCAATAAGATTAGTTTGGCATGATCTCCCTGAAGTAAACCCATGTTGTCTCTGATCTTGAAATCCATGTGTTTTAGATGTTCATCAATCCTATCCTTTAACATGGTTTCCATCACTTTCCCCACTACTGAAGTAAGGCTTACTGGCCTATAGTTGCCCGACTCCTCCCTATTACCTTTCTTGTAAATGGGCACAACATTCGCTAACTTCCACTCTTCTGGGACTACTCCTGTTAACAATGATTGGTTAAATAAATCTGTTAATGGTTTTGCTAGTACACCACTAAGCTCTTTTAATAGCTGTGGGTGTATTCCATCAGGTCCCATTGACTTATTTGTATGAACTTTTCCTGATATATATTTTTTAACATAAATACTTTTTTTTTAATCATTTTTTGTATAATAAACTAGCTTTTTACCTATATACAGTTTCTGAACCATTGCGTTTAACCATTTTGTGATACACTGTATAACATTTTAGCATACAATTCCATATACTGTATTGCTACAATATTTCATCATTCTATTTTTATTTTCATTTGTATTTTTATCTTTGCATGGTACAAAGTATATAATTTGGAGTAAGTGCCAGCCACTCTGTTCTATAGCAGAAATAGAGGCACTTGCACTGCACTTATTGCATATGACATATATTTATTTATTTATTCGCTATTTATTTGCTGTTTGCTGATCTCCAATTCACTTTATCTGGTTCTATTTTCTTCCTTTATACATTTATCTTGTTTTTACACTTTTAATTGAATTTTCGTTTTTTCCTTAAAGGCACAGTACCAATATTTATATATTCTCTCACGCAGATATTGCCATTCCATTTATATCTCCACATATTCTAGCCATATCTTAGGCCAGCGGAGGATTATTGTCCTCCGAAACTATCTCTGAAAAAGAAACAATACTATGCAAACAACAACTGGACAGTTTACACAAAGAAAACCAAAAGCACCCAACAGCAGAACACAAAACGCAAATTAATACACTCCAAAATAAACTCAATGAGATCTGACTTCACAAATTCTGTCTAATATTAAACAGACTGAACACTCGCACTTACGTACAGGGCAGTAGAGCAAGCAAACTCGTGGCACAACGACTACGTGAAAGACAACAACAAACACAGATAGCCCACATCATAAAGAAAAAGGGCCAAAAAGTACACCTACCATCAGACATATGCAGAGAATTTGCCCAATATTACAGTCAACTATATAATCTCACAGAAGACCCAAACACACCACAACCCACAGAAGTAGGCATACGGTCCTATCTAAACAATATTCCACTGCCAACTCTGTCCGAATCCCAAAAACAACTTCTTGCAGCCCCCATCACAGAAAACGAGATATCAGAATGCATTAACTCCCTACCCAAAGGGAAAGCCCCAGGACCCGACAGATTCACAAATGAATATTACACAAAATTTCCAACCCCTTTTAGCCCCACATCTTAGCACAGCATTTAACCACGCCCTACACACGGGAAGATTCCCTTCAGAATTTTTAGCAGCTAGGGTAATTACCCTACCGTTCCTGTGTGTCCAACTTGTCTGGTTACAACCACATGTCTGTTCGTCCACCCATTGTAAAGCGCTGCGGAATTTGACGGCGCTCTATAAATATCATACTAATAATAATAATAATAATAATAATAATAATAATAATACCGAAACCGGGTAAACCACCTACACATTGCCAAAACTTCCACCCAATTTCATTACTGAACTCAGACACCAAGATTTATGCAAAAATACTGGCCAACCAACTTAAAACCATCCTTCCTTCCCTTATCTCGGACAACCAGGTAGGCTTTGTGCATGGGAGACAAGGTTTGGATAACACCCGTAAAGTGACAGACATTATACAGACAATACACATGGACCGGACACAAGGACTCATGATCTCCCTAGACGCGGAAAAAGCCTTCGACAGACTAAATTGGCAATTTTTAGAGGCTGTCCTCAAAAGATTTGACTTTCCCCCTACATACCTATTGGCTATTAAAGCCCTATACAGTCTCCCGAATGCAGCAGTATCGACCTTGGGGTTCCAATCAGACCCATTTGAAATCACCAATGGCACCAGGCAAGGTTGCCCCCTATGGCTCGAACCGCTAGTAGAAACCATCAGACAGAATCCCAACATACATAGAATACAAATGGGGGGAAAAGAATATAAAATTAACCTGTTTGCGGACGATGTCCTCTTCACACTCTCCCAACTGTTAATCTTGCTCCCCAATCTCCAAAAAGAACTCCAAAAATATAGCACACAATCATACTACAAACGCAACACTATCAAAACCCAGGCAATGGCAATAGGCATAGAGGGCGACACCATGGTCAGACTCAAATCGGCATTTCACTACAACTCGAGAGAGGATTACCTCACCTTTCTTGGAATTAAACTCACAAAAACATATAACTCGCTCTTCACCATGAATTATCAAAAACTTTACACAGAAATAGAGAACACATTAAAGTCATGGGAGGGCAAATACTTATCATGGATGGACCGATGTGCGCCTATCAAAATGATGATACTGCCGAAAATTCTATACTTATTCCGCACACTACAAATAAATGTACCTGCTAAATACCTCAAAGCACTCCAGTCAACACTTTTAAGATTTGGATGGCAAAACAGAAAGCCTAGGGTGACATGGAGACTCCTATCAAAAACAGTGAAGGAAGGAGAACCGGGGTTCCCCAATGTAAGAGAATGTTACGCTACACAGCTGAGTGCCAAACCCGGAAGTGTTACTCCATGACAGAGAATACCATAGAGCTACATAGTTGGCTAACGTGCTAGGATGCCACTCGAACGCCCAACCCCCTCAATGGCTGGCTCTGAATCCAGCAGACTATATGGGAAACACCTAACACACCTACTATGGGCCCCCAAGGACATGATACCCCGCACCCCCCAGATGTTGCCGACTACCAAACTAATGCTATCCATATGGGGCATAAACAGACACAGGGTGAGCTCAACACATAAGTGATCCCCCGCGAACGCCCTAAGAACACTGCACACTCTAAACCCATAGTTTAACTATAAAATATGGGCAGCGCATGGCGTATCCCATCTATACCAGTTGACTCACCAAGGTTCCCAAAAGCGCTTCAAAGATTATCAAACACAATTAAAGATCCCATACAGGGCACAATTCTCATACATGCAAATACTCCATACAATTCGAATAGAAAGTACACACACAAAGACAGGGAACGAGGAGGCACAACTGACTCACTTCGAAAACAAATGTATAAACATGAGACAACAGACAAAAACTCTCTCACTCTGCTACAATTTACTTATAGAGGAACCTCAAACACAACTTTGGGGATTTCAGAAAGAATGGCACAAAGATATCGGAAGGGATTTAACACCCCAGGAATGGAGCATGACATTCACAGCCCACAAGGGAACAACAAGGTGTGCCTCACACCTTGAAATCTCTAGAAAATTATTGTACAGGTTGTACTTCATGCCAGACAAGCTGGCCAAAATGTATCAATCTACAGATAACAAATGCTGGAGATTCCAGGGACCACTAGGGGATACATTACACATATGGTAGACCTGTCCACGCATACGCCCAGTCTGGGAATCAGTGGGAAAAATAATTAAAAATAGCAGTGGGACATGGATTTCCCCTTTGATAGAAACGTTCCTACTCCACGTTCTACCACAGCAACTACCGAAACATATATGAAAACTGGTGTATCTTATTATTATAGCAGCAACGACTATCATAGCAAGAAACTGGAGATCAACAACAATCCCATCCAAACAGGAGTTATTAAACCTAATATCTACAAATGTGGCATATGAAAGATTTGCAGGAACACAAGGCCATACAGGCCGCACTAATGTAGAGGCATATACCAGGTGGCAAAAACACATAGAAAATACACACACAAAGGATAAGACACACCCCCATAACCTGCCTTAGAGTACGGGAACATACAAATAGAACCTGGAGAGTGGCACTGTTGCAACACAAACAGCGAAATAAACCGAAACCCTAAAAAGCGGCACCAAGTATCTGCATAATAGACCCAATTGACAAGCCCTGTCAGAAACCAAACCAATAGAAAGCCAAAACACAAGGGAAATCCAACCATAGGTTGTAAATATGTTTATGTAAATATGTTTAAATATTTCTGTATCTGTACTTACTTTACCTCCAACCCCACACAGTCTATACGATGCATAAACAAGACAACGACAACAAGTGAAGAAATACATAGACACTGATAAACAGGACTACCGCTAGTGCTGTATACAATATAGAAAATTTTGTTATGAATAACAAAGGCATTAATATCCCCTTCCCTTCTTTATTCTGTAACCACCTCATTCTTTACTTTTATGCAAACAAGAAAATAAAAATGGTCAATTATTATAATGGAATGAGGCAAAAATTAGATGCTTTGTTAAACTAATTTGCATATGCCCACCCAGAAACCTTTGTGGTAGTAACATCACTGCAGATTTGTGATTTCTGTGGGAAAAGCAAGTCTTATGGCTTAAATGATGTGCAGATTTTTGTTTAACATTGTATTAAGTATCCACAGACTTCAGGTGGAAGGGGTATTCTATCACAATTTTTTTCCCCACCATAACCTTTTTGTTTTTGCTTCCCATGTTCTTCCAAGCCTCAATAAGGAAACCAGTAACCAACCTCATGCTGATGATTAGCATTAACAATGAACCAGCTGTCCATGAGTGGTTCACTGGCTTTGCATCTTTTCCGAAGTTGTGTTTCAAAGCTATTGTATACAGCAAACACAGGCTCAAAGGAATCCATGTTTAAAATGGAATGAGGCAACATCACTACAGATTTGTGATTTCTGTGGGAAAAGCAAGTCTTATTACATGACTGGTGTGTATATTTTTGTTTAACATTGTATTAACTTTATATCTCTCTCTCTCTCTCTCTCTCTCTCTCTCTCTCTCTCTCTCTCTCTCTATATATATATATATATATATATATATATACACATCGTGAATACATTGTTAAACACAGATTTGTACACCAGTCAAACTATAAGACTTGGATTTCCTACTACTTTGTTACTACTGCAAGGGATTCTGGGTGGACATATGCAAATTAGATCAACAAAAAAATGACGTGTTGCGAGAGTTCCCACGTCTAGCACCTTAAAATCGACTGAAACACAGAGCCTCAACTTACCTGGATGCAAAGCAACACTAAACGTGTTACCCTAATGCTGGTGGTTTCGGGGATACCTTTTATGGGCTTCTCCGCCACCAGCGACCGGGCTGAGGAGACACTGCTGCTCTCCTGCTGCTCAGACTGGCGGAGAGAAAACTGAATAGAGCTGCCCTCCCCACTATGAACCGACGGGGGTTATCCAGGTCCCCCTTGGTTTACTCCAGAGCCTTACGACGCAACCAAGCAACTGACACGGACCATATGGTGCACCCGGCTGATACACCTAAGATGGCAGACGAGCTCTCTATGCAGAGACATGGACTGCACAGGCCGGAGATGGTCCTACCGGGTTCGGTGGACTGCATGATTCAATGCCTTGACACAGTGTTCCAGAGGTTCTGGCAACGGCTGGAGGCTCGAATGTTGACCCCGCGGACCCAGCATCAGGGGATAGAGACCAACAGCAAGAGACGCAGAGAGCCTGGGCCTCCTCTGGGCAAAACAAACTCACGAGCCTCTGTGAAACCTCATCCTGGTCTACCAAGGCTGGGGACCACCTCCGCTAAAGTCGTGAATGTTCCACAACGTCAGCGGAGACCCGGTACCCAAAAGCGGAGGCAGAACAGCAGCCCCTGCACTCTCCCAGTATGGGGGGACTTGGTTCACCAGGTTTTAAAAGAGTATAAAATATACTACTCACATTATTTAGAGCAGGCTTGTACTTTTTACTATTATCTACTTGAAGAAGCCCTTGAGGTGAAACGCGTTTAGATATTATTTTTACTACTTTGTAATAAAGAAATTATTTTGGCATAAAATACTTTATTGTCATTTTCTTTCTTTTTTACCTGACTACACATATACTGCATACTCTACAAGAAGCCTAAAGAATCCATAGGTGGGGATTATACCACCCAAGCGCTTACACTGAGCAGTACAGGCCTGCTCTAAATAATGTGAGTAGTATATTTTATACTCTTTTAAAACTTTTAATTACAATACAGAGAGCACTATATTTTATCCTTTTTTTTCTGGGTCGAATAATACTAATTCGGACGCCGAACTTGAGCCAGATATTCACCAATCAAATATTACTCTGCATATCCTTGAGTGGGGATTATTCCACTTCACGTGCGCAATATCAGAGCTAGCTTTTAGCTCTGAAAAGTGTGAGTAAGACTATTTTCATTATTTTATTATATTATTTTATTCATCTATATACTGTGCCATTGGAGTCCTGTTTCTGTCTTTCTTTTTTCTACATATGCTCCACTGGATCTCATAAGCATATAATCGTGAAGTCTTAACTCCATTTTACATCTCAAGAATCCCTGTTTCCACACGTGGAACCTATCATTACGGACTTATGATGATAAGTGTTTTGGACTACTGCTAACCACTTATTTTATATTAAAATTTTATATTTTAATATTTTATAATATTTTATATGTTTTATTATATATTTTAGGCGCACCCTTATTTTACTGTTTGTTTTAATGATTCACAATTGCCTAAACCAAACGACAGCCAAACCTATTGCTCGCTCTCAGCTTCTACCTAGCCTGACCTAACCAACATAACTTTCTTGCACTACATCCCTCCTGCACACCCATACTACATTTCACTCTAGAAACGCATTAGTTCAGCTAAGCTTGTTTATGTATAATAAAAAATGTGCGATTGTTCATGCCACTGTCGAACCTTCATTTATATATATTGATGTACGCTGTTGTGGCGTTTGCCGATATGTTGTACCTACCCGCACAACAAAAATAAAAAAAATTATTAACATGGATTCCTAAGAGTTTATGTTTGCTGTATACAACAGCTTTGAAATACAACTCAGAAAGATATGCAAAGCCAGTGAACAACTCATGGACAGCTGTTTCATTGTTAATGCAACTCATCAGCATGAGGTTGTTTACTGGCTTGCTACTGAGGCTTGGAGTTATGTGCAGAGCACAAGAAGGTTATGGTGGAGAAAGATAGTGATTGAAAACCCCTTCAACCTGAGGTAAGCGGATACTCAATACATTGATAAACACAGATCTGCACACCAGTAAAGCCATAAGACTTGCTTTTCGCACATAAATCTCAAATTTGCAGTGATGTTACTACTGTAAGAGATTCTGGGTGGTCACATGCAAATTAGTTCAAGAAAGAATAACATTTTTGCCTCATTAAACCATTTTAAACATGGATTTTTCTGTATACGACAGCTTTGAAACACAACTCAGGAAGAGATTCAAAGTCAGTGAATCACTCATGGACAGCTGTTTTATTGTTAAATCAACTCCCGCAATTGTTCGCGAACCCGGCGAACCGCCATAGACTTCAATAGGCAGGCGAATTTTAAAATCCACAGGGACTCTTACTGGCCACAATAGTAGTTGAAGGTGGGGGGAGGAGACCTACTCTCCTCCCCCCCTGCCCCCACCCCTGGGCGGCGGGTGGGGGCCATAAAGATAATGAGGGGGGGACCTACTGTCCTCCCCCTCTATGGCCCCCACCCCTGGGCAGCGGGTGGGGGCCATAATGATAATGGGGGGGACCTACTGTCCTCCCCCCCCGGCCCCCACACCTGGGCGGTGGGTGGGGGCCATAAAGATAATGAGGGGGGACCTACTGTCCTCCCCCTCTCCGGCCCCCACCCCTGGGCGGCGGGTGGGGGCCATAATGATAATGAGGAGGGACGACCTACTGTCCTCCCACCCCGGCCCCCACCGCTGGGCGGCGGGTGGGGGCCATAAAGATAATGAGGGGGGACCTACAGTCCTCCCCCTCTCCGGCCCCCACCCCTGTGCGGCAGGTGGGGGCCCTAAAAATAACAATAAGAGGGGGACCTACTGTCCCCCACGGCCCCCACCCCTGAGCCGTGGGTGGGGGCCCTAATAACAATAAGGGGGGGACCTATTGTCCCCCCCGGGCCCCACCCCTGAGCGGTGGGTGGGGGCCCTAAAATTAACAATAAGGGGGGGACCTACTGTCTCCCCCCCGGCCCCCACCCCTGAGTGGTGGGTGGGGTCCCTAATAACAATAAGGGGGGGACCTATTGACCCCCCGGCCCCCACCCCCGAGCGGTGGGTGGGGGCCCTAAAATTAACAATAAGGGGGGGACCTATTGTGTGTCCCCCGGCCCCCACCCCTGAGCAGTGGGTGGGGGCCCTAAAATTAACAATAAGGGGGGGACCTATTGTCCCCCCCCCGGTCCCCACCCCTGAGCGGTGGGTGGGGGCCCTAAATTTAACAATAAGAGGGGACCTATTGTCCCCCCTGGCCCCCACCCCTGAGCGGTGGGTGGGGGCCCTAAATACAAAGGGGGGGGACCCTAGTCACCCCTCACCCCCCAAAAAAAATGATCTCCCTACCTACCCCCCTCACCCTAAAAATAATGAGGGGGGGACATTTAACTAAAAACCTGTAAAAAAAAAATTGGTAAAAATAACTTACCATTTGATGTTTTCTTTCTTCTACAATCTTCTTTTTTCAGCCCCAAAAAAGGCCAAATAAAAAGCCATAAGAACCGACGCAATTAAAAAAACAAACAAAAAAAAAACGAGCGCACAAAAAAATAATCCATCTTCACCCATGGAGGGCTCCGCGCAGACTGAGCTCTGCAGGGCGGGGGAAGGCTTATAAAGCCTTGCCACGCCCTGCAATTAGGCTAAGAACACTCTGATTGGCTGGTTTAAGCCAATCAGAGTGCTCTTTGTCATTTTACACAGCGTGGGAAAATTCAAAAGAACTTTCCCACGCTGTGTAAAATAACACAGAGCACTGTGATTGGATGGCTTGAAATCCATCCAATCACAGTGCTCTGTGTCATTTTACAGCGTGGGAAAGTTCAATTTTCCCACGCTGTGTAAAATGACACAGAGCACTGTGATTGGATGGATTTCAAGCCACCCACCGCTCAGGGGTGGGGGCCTGGGGGAGGACAATAGTATTTAGGGCCCTATTAGTATTTAGGGGACCCTTTTTTTTTTTAAACAGTGAGCAGCCACAGGCTGCTCACTGTTTAATAGACATGCCCCTACTCGATACTAAGTAATTTTTACTTAGTATTAGTAAATTAATAGGGGACAGACCGAACATCGCATATGTTCGCTATCCGTGGCGAATGCGAATGCGCTATGTTCGCCAGGAACTATTCGCCATCGAACCGTTCGGGACATCACTACTCATAAGCATGCTAGCATTTGGGGGTGATAGGGACTGTTGTGTGTTTTTGTCGGGAGCAGTTGTATGTGCATTGAAAGGGAGAAAGGGACTGTAGGATAGGGGCTGTGTTGGGGCTTTAAGGGCTATTGTGGTAGTATAACAGCACACCTGTATGGTATTTCTGTGTGACTCTATGAGAGTGTTGCTCTGGAATACTGTGGCAATACTCTGATACAATGGAGAATTTGAGTAGCCTGGCCAGTGATGAATATTAAAGGACCACTATAGTGCCAGGAAAACATACTCTCAGGGTCCCCCTCCCGCCCAGCTCTGGGGAGCGGAAAGGGTTAAAACTTACTTTTCCAGCGCCGGGCGTGGAGCTCTCCTCCTCTTCTCCCCCTCCTCTCCTCTCTTTTGGCTGAATGCGCACGCGCTGCAAGAGCTGCGCGCGCATTCAGCCGGTCTCATAGGAAAGCATTTACAATGCTTTCCTATGGATGCTTGCGTGTTCTCACTGTGATTTTCACAGTGAGAATCACGCAAGCGCCTCTAGCGGCTGTCAATGAGACAGCCACTAGAGGATTTGGAGGCTGGATTAACCCTATTATAAACATAGCAGTTTCTCTGAAACTGCTATGTTTAGAAAAAAAAGGGTTAATCCTAGAGGGACCTGGCACCCAGACCACTTCATTAAGCTGAAGTGGTCTGGGTGCCTAGAGTGGTCCTTTAAGCAGGGCCTCTCTATTCAAGTGCCTAGATCTCCATTGTCTGCCTCAGCCCCATGGTGGAAGAATGTGTTGGCTGGTGAGGGATATCTTTGATTTCCCCACCTGCTTGCCTCTCCTGCTTCCTGCCCGAGGCCATGGCCTGAGTGACTTTATGGCAAATTAAGCCATGGAGAAGTACAACAGTACTGGAGGAGAGGATAATGAAGATATAGAGCAAAGGGAGGGGAGGGAGCAATAAGAGAGAGTATTAACCAGTAAGGGGAGATACAATATATTCACCTTTCAGTATATCCAATGTATTTATAGTAAGCACGTTTACTTTTATTTGTAATAACCAATTAAAGCAGAAGTCACCACTCAATACACTGTTACTATTGGTAAATGCATATGAAACGTATATGTTTTTGTTTTTTTTAAACTGTATTCATATGTCTTTCAGCTGCAGACCTGTATAGTATATTTGTGCTTCTATTGTACTTGTGTGACAGTTCCTTCTCGGGAATCATGTGAAGCTTTGGCTTGATCCCAAGTAAGCAGATGCCAAGTTTCTGTTTACTGTAGAAATGGATCTTGCATTTTCTTATTCTTCCTCGTTCACTCTCTCTCTGTTTTATTGTGTTTGGTATTTTAACATGTACAGGCTACAAAATGAAAAATGCAAATATGATATTTTCTTTATGAACACAGGTGAGAAGTCTTGCATTTGTTTACA